TATATATATATTTGGATTAATTCTTAGTTTGGATCTTACATATAAAATTAGAGGAACTATTTTGTACAACTTTTTAACGGAGAAAACTTATATATAATGCCATAATTTATATATAACATGCAAATTTAAATATTTTTTATTATGTACATTATTAAAATAAAATTTTAATTCTGATGAAAAGATAACTATAACAATATTTGTGAGGTCCCTTTCTTTTTTCTCCTTCCCATTTCTACCCTTTCACTCTTACTCACGAAAGTCTCACTCCTTTACTCTAAACTCCCACTCTCTTCTTCTCATTTTGATGTTTCACTTTCGATTTCTTGGATTCAAGGTGGTGGTGTTGAGTAGTTGGATTGCTAGCTGGTGTACGGATTTCTTCATTCTCCTTCCTCATCCGTTCAAGCCCTTCTTCAACCTTCTTCTCCGTTTCTCTTTTTGGAAGCTCGAAATCCTTGCCCGAGGTAAGGGAAGCTAGTTTTCTTGTTGCGTTTTGGCTGAAAATGGGTCTAAGAACTCATTTGGTTGTTTATGATTGTTGATTCTTTACTAATCGGGTGAAAATTTGAGTTTTTGGGGTCTTTGGGGTTTTGAGAAAATTCTTGGTTTTTCTTTGATTTGTGGATGCATGTGTAAAAAGATGTTATTTTTGAACTCTTGGATGAAAATATGGTATCTTGGCTGGATTGCATGTGCTGGAAAGTGGATTCTTGCAGGTTTTGGGCAAACTTTCGAACTTGGTGAAGTTGCTACCGAGCTTCGCGCTGAGCGCCGTTCTTCGCGCCGGGAGCGTGGCCACTAGGGGACTCCATTTAGGCAAGCCCGTCGGGCGCAATGATGGGTGCGCCGGGCGCGTTTGAGGATGTGGGTCTCTGGTTGGTCCGCGTTGGGCGTGACTTTGATCGCGCTGGGCGCGATACCAGTTGTAACCTGTTTTGGGCTTTTTGATTCTGCGCTGAGCGCGACCCTTGTCGTGCTGGGCGTGAGACTCCTTGAGAGTCTCTGCCTTGAGGGCACTAGGCGCAATTTGAATTGCGCTGGGTGTGAGACCTTGGGGAGGTCTCTACCTTCCCCGCACCGGGCGCGGGTTTAGGCACGCCGGGCGCGTGAGACTCCTTGGAGTCTCTGCCTGGCATGCGCTGGGCGCAATTGGTATGGCGTCGGGCGCGTGTGAGCCTTGGGCTCTCTGGCTGAGTCCCGCCGGGCGCGGGAATGCCAACGCGCCCCTGGTGCTCTCTGGTTGTACCGCGCTGGGCGCAACCACGAGTGCGCCGGGCGCGAAGATTTTAATTTCACTAAATGCTATTAGAAGTTGTTTTATGATGAGTATAAGCTGAAATTGATGAATATAATGTGATGACCAACTAAAAATGTTGTTCGATGATGTTGAGCTGTATTAGATGTATATTGTTGTAAGATGTTTCGATGTGCTGTAAGATGATATGTTGTGCTGTAAAGTTATGCTGTGTTGTATGTTGATATAAATTGTTGTAGGCCGTAAGGCTGAGTTGTTGTAGGCCGTAAGGCTGAGTTATTGTAGGCCGTAAGGCTAAGTTGTTGTAGGCCGTAAGGCTGAGTTAATGTAGGCCGTAAGGCTGAACTGTAGTAGGAGATCTCCGAGATGATATGCGTGACGACGCATTGTGTGCTTATTGCTGATTATGCTGTACAACTGATGAGATGTATGCTGACGAAGTGTTGATAGTTGTAGCTGTTCATATTACTTAAATTTTGTTATACGTTGTTCTCTTTATACTAGCTTACCCTTTGTTGTTTCCATGTGGTTTTGGACTGCGATGATCATACTATGTATGGGAGCAGAGCAGGGATAGGTTGGTGGCTAGTGGTGAGTCCGCAGCTGGCAGGCGGAGCTGATCCTTGATGATGTTTTGTTGTTTCAGCTACTTGGTGTAGTAACTTTGGATGTATTTTTGTATATTTTGAATCTAGTCAGACTTGGACCATGTATATATGTATATTCTAGACACTATATGTATATATTTATTCCTTTCTCTCCGATTTTCAGGTGTACTATGTAGTGTGTAGTGACCAGTCGAGTTGTAGTGTGTAGTGACCAGCCGGGTCGTTACAATATTTATAATACTTCATGTAAGTTTTATGCATTTGAACATACTTTTTTTTATCTTTTATATTAATTAAATTCTCTCTCATTTGTATTTTTTATTATTTTATTTCTCGATAATAAATATTTAAAACACAATAAGGAAAGTGCATTTATTATTTTATTTTGTAAATGCCAATCGAGCTAAAACGTCAAAATAAAAAGGAAAAATAATTGAAACTTGCATATTTTATGAGATTATTTACGATGATTAATTGACAGACATTTATTTTAGCAAGTCTAGTCTTTATATTATAATTTTGTATGTATTAATGGATAAAATTTATATTTGAAATGTAATTGAATCTTGTGTAATGTTATTGATATGAAATATTCATTAAATTTGAAATAATTAATATTTATTAAAAATTTTGATTAATTATTTTTAGTAGAGTCTCTCCTCAGCACAACTATTTTTTAAGTATCATTTTAGTGTTTTATACACAAATTATAAAATATGATAAATTTTTCCAAATTTTATAAAATAGTTTTGAACATTCATATTATACCCTTTTATTTTTACTCTACAATAAATGAATATCAGATATAAATGAGTAAATTGATTAAAAGTTAAGTAAAAAGTAAAAATATGATTGACAAAGAAAAAACTAATGTCACCTTAAACTTTGAAAAAACAAAATAATAGAAAC